AGCCAAGGGTCTCATCTTCGGAAACCCTGACCTCCAGGTCTGAAGGGCACAGCAGGAGCTTAGTCAGTGGCTTTCTTGTGGGCCCTTGCTGAGCAATGTTAGCATGTGAGCCTCGGGTGGCCACGATGGCTGGGGAGAGCGGACGGTGAGCTGAGATGGGCTTAGAGAGGCTGAGAGGTGAAGTAGGTCAGGACTGTGCACCCGGGCGGTGGGGCGTGGCCGTGAGTCTGAGGGAGCGGGAGTGTGCAAGACAGTTCTTTATTTGTGGCTCAGGAATCACAATTGGCCGTCGTGGAATTAGAATGGTTATCTGGAAACTGCACTGTGGGGTCAGCGGATGAATAATTATGGGATATTCAAACACTCTCCTCCCCTTTGGAAGAAGGGAGATGCAGATGTCCCATGGATAGGCTAAATAAAAACCTGAATTTGTATGGGTGTGTCAGTGTGAAGTCATTGGCATTTTATCTTTTTTTTTTTTTTAAAGATTTTATCTTTCCTTTTTCTCCCAAAGTCCCCCAGTACATATTTGTGTATTTTTAGTTATGGGTCCTTCTATTTGTGGCACGTGGGACGCTGTCTCAGCATGGCCTGATGAGCAGTGCCATGTCTGCGCCCAGGATTCCAACCAGTGAAACCCTGGGCCGCTGAAGCAGAGCATGCGAATTTAACTGCTCCACCACAGGGCCGGCCCCGGAACTTTTTTTTTTTTTTTTTTTTAGGAAGATTAGCCCTGAGCTAACATCTGTGCCCATCTTCCTCCACTTTATATGCGGACCTACCACAGTATGGCTTGCCAAGCGGTGCCTTGTCCGCAGCCAGGATCTGAACTGGCGAACCCCGGGCCGCCGAAGTGGAACGTGTGAACTTAACCGCTGTGCCACTGGGCCGGCTATGGGGATTTTATCTTTAAAAAAAAAAAGTCGTTTCCAGGTTTTGGTCTTGAAATTCATTTCCCACTGAAAGGAACCAGGGCGTCTTGGAGAAGTGGCTGGTTGTGGGTCTGGGGTAGGACGTGGAGGTCCCTGGAGCACCTTGTGACACTGGGTCGCTGGGAAGTTGTCAGGGTTCACTAGGGTCCTGGGCAGGACTCGGAGGCACTGGAAGAGGCTCGCGCTAGCTGAAGATGGGACACTTGGCTTCAGTAACCATAGTGATGGCAGTGGATTGAAACCCACCAAGTGTGTTTAAATCCAGAAGTTCGTAATGATGTTAAGAAACTAAAGACTATTTGGTTTTCTTTGAGGAAAGTAGGGAACCAGTTCATTATCTTGAAAACTAGGCAACTAAGGGAAACGAGCATTTGTCCTGCCATAACTATGAGATTTGCCACCTGGTACCAACTAGCAGATGATGACACGTCTGGAAATTATTCCCCTACTGAATGCAGAGGAAACAGCAGCCCCATGTTGCACCCCTCAGTGAATCAGTAGGTCTGAGCACTGTCTCTGGCTGTTGACATCACAGAAAGAGACACAACGAGGTGTCATGTGCCTTGAAAGCAGAGGATGGCACCTTCAGAATGACTGCAGGGGTCTGGCAGAGCCTGAGCAAGCCTCGGGGTCCAGTCACCAAGGGGCAGCAGATACAGGGGACAGAGGCACGTGCTGAACGTTCTAGGAGTGCGCAGTCGGCAAAAGCCAGAAGGCCATGTGGCCCGGGTTCTTCAACAGAAAAATTGTAAGGAAGGGCAAGAAACGGGGTGGGGGGACACAGGACGACACGACACGACATGGACGGACTTGTGGATCGAAAGAGAATTAAAGACATACCGAATTAAAAAATAATGGACCAAACTGTAGTGTCTGGGGGTGCACACTTGGGTGACACAACCATGAAGACATGCGAGGGAATGGTTACTGCACAAGTCCGAAGGGCGGTTCCTTGGGGGGTCGGGAGGTGGTGCACTTGGGACGGGCGTGGAGGAGCTCCTGGTGGGCGGCCAAGGCCTGGGTCCTGACCTGATCGCTTATCTTACTGTGATTATTGTATTCAGCTCTGCATTCCACTTGTGGTGTTCTCTGCATCTGCCGTGTGTTTTACAACAGAAAAGTTACAGTGGAATAAAACAGCAGGTCCCCATGGCCGCAGAGGTTCTGCTTGGGTAGGGGGGATCCTGCGGCTGCATGGGTGGCAGGACACTTCCCGCCCAGCGGTGCAGGACCCCGCACGCCCTCGAGGCCTGAGCTGAGCCCTCCTTCAGCGAGAGGGACAGTGTTGGTGTCTGCTGTGGGGTCGCACCAGCACGGGGCCTCCTGTCCCTGGAAGGGTAGCTGTTACGTCATCGAAGCGCTCAGTCATTTATGTCATTTTTATTGACCGAGTGCTTTGTGCTGGCTCACTGCTCTTCTCTTTCTGGGAATTTTTTTAGTCCTTTGAAAGGATAAACTGGGAGGCGGCGGAGTTGCTAGCCTCACATCCCTCGTGACTGCTGACCTGGTCCCAGGCCCGCGGCCGGCCCGGGGCGTCAGCGCGAGGCCGGACTCGCAGCCCAGTGCGCCCCGGAGCCCACCGCGCCTGCGCAGATCCCTGCACACCCGCGCGGAGGCCGCGGAACCTGCCTCCTCCCTTGAAAAAATAAGCAGTCTGTGCGATAACCGGCCACCGCCAGAAAGGCAGACAGCCTGAGGCTGGGAAAACCGGGCGCCCGGTCGTGCCCCCCTCGCCTCCAGGCCTGGGGACTTTCTCTCCCCGATTCCAGACGAGCCCTCTCCCTGCTTGGCCAGTTGCAGCTCTCAGCCGCTCGCTGCTCCCGGAGCTGAGGATGCGGGTTCAGCCCCCGCAGTGCCCCTGACTTAGTCACGGGTGTTTGACAAGTTTTGGTGGTCTCTATTCAGAATTTGTGTCCTCTGACTGTAGTTGAATCACATGATCTATGGTTAAACGTTCTTTGCTGACAAGTTTGAAAACGAAATGTTTATTTTAACTAAGGGACTACAGCACTAGGAGTGAGCCGGGTGGAAGGGCTGTTTCCCACGGAGCCCACCACCTTGCTGCCCGGCCACGCTGCTCAAGGCAGGCAGCTCCCCAGGCCGCAGCCTTTTCCTCTTGGCTGTCTCTACATCTCTACGTAACGTGCTTTCATCTCCGTTTCTTGGTGTACATTGACACCAAAATGGGCTCCCTGCCGTTTCTTCAGAAGCCCCTCCCCCGTGCCTTCCTGGATTTCTGCCTGGATTTTTTCGTCTGCCCCGAATGATTGCACATCCCAGTACGTTTCCAGTACAGGCCAGATGCCTTAGAATAGTGGATCCTAAAGTTCAGGTGCGTCCGAGTCACTTGGGGGGCTTGTTAAAGCTCGGAGGGCTGCCCGCCCCCTCCGCCCCGGGCCGAACAAGAGCTGCTCTGAGGGCCGGTTGGAGGAGTGCTACCCTAGGAGCGTGGGTGCTTTGTGGGACGGGGGGCTCCGGGTGGCCGGTCCGGGACCCAGACTCCCAAGTACACCTCGGTTTTGCTGCTTCCAGGTGCTGATTCCTCTTCCCAGTGCCTCGGTGTCCTCGCTTGTGAAGACCCGAATTCCATAGCGCCCACCTCACGGGACTTAAAGGCATTGAGGCTTATTAAGTTCATAGCGCCGCTCTCGTGCATGACAACCCTTCTTTGCACATTTGCCAGCGTTATAGCAGGGACAGCGTGAGCGCTGTGTGCTGCTCCTGTGGGGCCTACGGTCTAGTGATGGGGGGAGTGGGAAGACTGTTGGTGGTTCACGCTTGGAGAGAAACGAACCTGTGGGGTTCTCCTGGAGCGCCCGAGCCAGGGGCGGGGGCGGAAACCGAGGGGGCGGGGCTGTGTCCTAGGGGAGGGGCCTCGGCGGTGGGGCGGGACCGGAGGCCGAGGGGTGGGGCTGGGCCCCAGGGGCGGGGCCGGGGCCAGGCGAGCATCCCGGGTTGAGGCTGCAGTTACCTGCTTCTGTAGTTCAGGCCCAGCGGGATGGGGAGACCAAAATTCATGGCAGGTGCACACAGTCCAGTCTCGGAGTTGGGCAAGTTGGCGAGGAGGCAGGCTCTCGTTTAGCCTGGGAAACCGCTCAGGGCCAGGAAGTGGCGCAGACGTGTGAAAGGCTTTGTTGGGCAGCCCCGAAGTGGTGGTGTCCTCAGTTTGCAGACAGCAAGGGCACAGCCCCACTGGGCAGACAGGACCCACAAAACCAGAGACCAGTGCGTGGACGTCTGTAGTGGAGGCTACGTCGTGTGGGGGTTGCACTCCCGCTTGGTGGGGTCAGGACTCTCCCGCTGGCCTGTGATCCCGTTAAGCAGTGGGTTCCTCCTCGGCTCCACCTTACAGTCAGTATAGTCTTCCTAGAGCCCAAATGTGACCTCATCACTCTGGCTTGTACACCTTCAGGGCGCTGCAGCCCGTTGTCCCTGGGCTGGGGTCTGACGCCCAGCCGTGCATTCAGGTCTGGCCCTGCGCCCTCTCCCGGCCAGTGGAGCCCTTGCCTGTGGGCCTGGGCCGTCGTCCTCTCCCGGAACCTCCCAGCCCCCAGCCTGGTGCTTTGGGTTTCAGGTGTCATTTCTTCCTAGGAGCCTTCCCTAGACGTCTGTCCCTCACCACGTTCGTTTATGTTGATTCCTTTATTTAACAGACATTTCTGGAGTTCCTCCTGTGTCTCAGGCATTGTTCTGGATGTGGGGGAGACGGCCGTGAAGGAAAGTCCTAAGGAGTGGGTAGTGAGCAGACGAATGTGTAGTAAAGTGCCAGGGAGTGGTGGCGAATAGGACGGGTAAGGGGATGGAGACTGAGGATACATCCGCCGAGGGCCAGGTCTGTGCAGAGAGCGCGGTGCTGACTCGGCCCAGCCGCCACCCCCGAGGTGTCGCAGGGGAGCCTGAGCAGGCGCACAGAGGTGAGAGCTCCCCGAGGCCGTGCACTGTAGCAGGGGGAAGAGCCGGTGAAGCCCCCAGCGCGGCTGGCCCTAGACCGCCCTCGCGCCTGGGGGGGGCGCTCTGTGGAGTCTGGCCTCTCTGACTCGCCTCCCCTCCCACCCTCTTGCCTTCCAGTGGACATTCTCATCATGGATGACGACGACGTCCCCAGCTGGCCCCCGACCAAGCTGTCCCCACCCCAGTCGGCGCCCCCGGCCGGCCCCCCGCCCCGACCGCGGCCGCCTGCCCCCTACATCTGCAACGAGTGCGGCAAGAGCTTCAGCCACTGGTCCAAGCTGACGCGGCACCAGCGCACGCACACGGGCGAGCGGCCCAACGCCTGCAGCGACTGCGGCAAGACCTTCTCGCAGAGCTCGCACCTGGTGCAGCACCGGCGCATCCACACGGGCGAGAAGCCCTACGCGTGCTCCGAGTGCGGCAAGCGCTTCAGCTGGAGCTCCAACCTCATGCAGCACCAGCGCATCCACACGGGCGAGAAGCCCTACGCCTGCCCCGACTGCGGCCGCAGCTTCACGCAGAGCAAGAGCCTGGCCAAGCACCGGCGCTCGCACAGCGGCCTCAAGCCCTTCGTGTGCCCGCGCTGCGGCCGCGGCTTCAGCCAGCCCAAGAGCCTGGCGCGCCACCTGCGGCTGCACCCTGAGCTGTCGGGGCCCGGCGTGGCGGCCAAGGTGCTGGCGGCCAGCGTGCGCCGGGCCAAGGCGCCCGAGGAGGCGGCGGCGGCGGACGGCGAGATCGCCATCCCGGTGGGCGACGGCGAGGGCATCATCGTGGTGGGCGCTCCGGGCGAGGGGGCCGCGGCGGCCGCAGCAGTGACGGGCGCGGGGGCCAAGGCGCCGGGGCCCCGCTCGCGGCGCGCGCCGGCCCCCAAGCCGTACGTGTGCGTGGAGTGTGGGAAGGGCTTCGGGCACGGGGCCGGGCTCCTGGCCCACCAGCGCGCCCAGCACGGGGACGGGCTCGGGGCGGCGGGGGCCGAGGAGCCGGCGCACATCTGTGTGGAGTGCGGCGAGGGCTTCGTGCAGGGCGCTGCGCTGCGGAGACACAAGAAGGTCCACGCCGTGGGCGCACCTTCGGTCTGCAGCGGCTGCGGACAGAGCTACTACCGGGCCGGCGGGGAGGACGAGGACGACGACGAGGCGGGTGGCCGGTGCAGCGAGTGCCGCGGCGGGGAGGGCCGGTAGGGGCGGGGGCCCGGGGGGGCAGGGCCCCTCGGGCTTGGCGGGGACGACGGCAGGACCCAGAGACCCGGGGAGACACGGACGGGGGGTGCCGCGGGCCGGCGGCGGCGTGCGGGCTCCTTCCCTTCCCCGGGGCGCGCGGTCCGCGGGGCCGGGTGGGCCTGGGGAGGGGCGCCGCGCAGCTCCCTTGGCGCCCAGGCCACGCCCGCCCGCGTCCCGGCCCCGCCCTGCGCTTGGCCTGCCCCTTGTAGGTTCTCGGCCGAGCCCGAGATAGACAATGTGTGACAACTAGAGACCAAGACACGACAAAACCCACGAGCGAAAGCCCACTTGTCCTCTTTCTCTTCCCCCACCGGCTGGGGGAGTTGCAAGGATGGAGCGAAATCGGGCCCTTTCCATTTAGAGGGGCCCCAGGGAGGGAAGGGAAAGAGGGGTCCCTTCCTCTTTTAGAGTTTTCTTTTAATCCTACCCGCCCCCTGACCCCTCCCACCCATTATGTTTTCTCTTCCCCGCGAGTCCCTTCGTTTCTCTTCGCCCAAGCCCTTCCTCCTCCTCCTGGATCTGGGGTAGGGGAGCAGTGATGGAGCAGAACTCGCCCCTGTTACAGGCGTACCCCGCAGAGAATGGGGTGCCCGCCTCTATTTGCTGGCCTGGGCGTGGTAGAAGGAGGGGTGCCGGGGGCAATAAATGGCACTATCCGATTGTCCCTGTTGTGCGTGGTTCTTGAGTTCGAGGGAGATGGGCAGGCGCATAAACGGAGGGATTTCCACGCAGCAGGTGCTTCGAGGGGACGCGGGCCAAGGGCTAGGCCCACCAAGAGAGGCAGCGGCCCCAGCGGCTGAGTCAGGCCGCGCTCGTGCCTGGGTGCAGACTGAGCTGTTGTCCCGGAAGAGTGACCTGACCAGGTCACCGGCCCAGGTTCTGGGCTGCCGCAGAGGTGGCCATCACGTGTCCAGGCTTGCGAGGAACTGGGGCCGGTGGTTTAGAGTAAGGCCAGCTTACTGTTGCTGTTCAAGGGCACCCCACAGCGTCAAGAGCTTAACACGGGTGCTTCCTGGCTCACGGGACAGTGGCAGGTAGCTTTCCTCCACACAGTGAGTGAGGAGCCCACACTCCTATCTGTGGCTTGTTCCACCAGCCCCTGAGGCCCCTTCCAGCATCCAGGTTCCTGGAAGACTGGCCTGGAAATGCACACATCGCTCCTGCTCACATCCCACCAAGGGGGTGGGCTGTCTCAGGGTCACATCTCACTGCAGAGCGGCTTGAGACGTCTCTGGCAGGGCTGCTACTTCTCAGCGACAGAACTGTACGGGAGAGGGAGGAAGAGGGACTTTCGGGGGCAGATAGTTGTCTCTGCTGCAGGGGTCCAACTGGAGGAGCTAGCTGAGGGGCTAGGGGACAAGGACAGGGATTTTGACAGTTGTCAAGTGCTTCCTGTGTTCTAGGCACTGCTATGTGTCCGGTGGACATGGTCCCATAGAGTCATTGCAGCAGCCCTGCGAGGTGAGCACTGCTGGTGGGACGTCCGTCAGGATGGGGCCCTCTGAGGCCAGTTTCCTGGGACCCACAGCCAGTCCTGGGGAACCGTGTCCCTGGGGCCTTGGGAGGCTGCGGTGGGCTTTCCTATGGGAAAAAGAGCCCTGCCAAGGGGTACGCATTTTCAACCTGGCTAAACAGCCATGATTCTGCAGAAGGAGGTTGGAGGAGGGGACCTTGTGTTCCCTTCACCTCCGCAGAAAAAGAGAGAGGGGTTAGTGGCAGAGGGGCAGTCAGAGGAGGAAGCGAGATTTCCAGTTGGAGCCCTGAATCTGCTGTCTGTGCTCTGCTGTCCTTGAGCAGATTACCCTCCCCACCTGGGAGCCTCAGGTTATCACCTGGAGAATTCGAGGCTCAAAACCAAGGTCACAGATGGATGGCCACCTGGCAGGCGGGGGCGTGACTCCCTGGGAGGATTTATTAGAGCGTCTTGGGCCTGACTAGGTCAGAAAAGCACGTTCTCAAGTGGCCATCGCCTGGCTTGGAAATTGGTTGACGTGGTTCAGTTGATTCTGAGGTCTCAGATCACTTTAAAGGAGGGAGGGAGGAAGGGGCAAAACTGTGCAGAGAGGGCACGGTAAGCAGAGGCATTGCCCAATGCCCACAGGTCCCCTGTGTCCAGCACTGACCTTGGGCACTGTTGGAGGTGGGGGAGGGAGGGAGGAGGAGGAGGAGTTGTGGGAGCCTGGGTGTCGGGGAGGTGCCCTGTCACTTAGGAGCCAGCGGTTGGGTTTCCTGCACCAGCTCCCGATGGAGTCTGCTCACACCTGCCACATCCTCTCCCTGCCTCAGGAGGCGGTGGCAGGAGCTGACACCTGGAGCAAGGAAAATTTAGGGCCAATTTCCACTCTGCCTCGTTTAGGCTGAGTGACCCCAGGCAAGCAAACTAACCCCTCTGACCCTTGGTTCCTCTGTGCAAAGAAGAGCTTTCCCGTCTCTTGTGACAGTTTCAAGGGCTACCCGGGGGTATCTGTGCGTGCCTGGTGCTCAGTCACTGATGGCTAATGCCTCTCCCAGGAGGGAGTGTAATGCAGTGTAGAGGAGCGGGGGGCTCAAATCTTGGCTTTACCAGGGAGCGCTGCTCACCCTCTCTGAGCCTCAGTTTACCTCACTTAATATAGGGGTTTACTTTGCTTAATAAACAATACAGAATTCAATGAGCTAACATGACCATGTAGTTAGACAAATGTCCCTTAGTGATTGTTAGTTAGTCTTATCATTACTGATGTCCTGATGCTTTCCAGAAAGACTGGAGTGAGACCGTAGATACACCCGTTTACCCACAATGTCACAATTATACACAATGATAATAGTTCACGCTCTGGGAGCACTTACCATTTGTGAGGCTCTGTTCTCAGCCCTTCCCAACTTTTACTATCTGTCTCCATTTATGCATGGGGAAACCAAGCAACAGAGAGGTTAATTAAATTGCCCCAAGTCACACAGCTCGTATGTGGAGCTGGGATCTAAACTCTGAACTCCCGACCTTTCGGTCCCCACGCAGGGCTGCCCAGCCAGCCTTTGCTGTGTTGCAAGGTGCCAATTCAATGTCTCTTCATCCCAGGAAACTGTGCTCATCCACATCACCCTTGTTCATTTGCTTCACACACACATACTGTCAGACGTTAACAGCGGTGTGGGTACGCCCACGTGGAGAACCGACGCCCTGCACGAGGGTGACCAGGCTCTCTCACCTTCAGCACTATTGACATTTGGGGCTGGATCGTTCTTTGGTGTGGCGGCTGTCCTGTGCACTGTGGGATGTTGAGCATCCCTGGCCTCCACCCGCTAGATGCCAATAGCCCCCCTCCCCAACAGAGACAACGAAACATGTCTCTAGACATTGTCCAATGTCCCCTGGGTAGGGAGCAAAATTACCGCCGCTGAGAACAACCGAATTAAACTCAAGAAGCGTCTACAGCCCTTGACAGCTTTCTCTTCTCACTGTGTGAACACTCCCCGTTCTTTCCTGCGGCAAAGCTGTGTTTCTGGCCCCTCTGCCACATGACTGATTTCCCGGCTTCATCTCGTGCTGGTGCCACAGTGTTTGTGTCCTCCTGGCCTCCTACCAGCTTCACCTGTGAACCTCAAGCTCAGGTTCTCCCAGGGGCCAGGCGGAGGACGGAGACGAGCGAGCGGTCAGTCTGCAGCGGGCAGCTGCTGCTCGGCTCAGCCGGCTCTGCCCCACGGACTGCGGACCCGGCCCTGCTAGGTCTTCTGATTCTCCAGGAGAGATCAGAAATTAGGATTTTTTAAAATGGAAAATCCCCATTTTTTTTTAAGGTTGGCAACTGACTCAAAAACATTTTAAAGCCCTGAGTAAACCACCCTAAACACGTCTGTGGCCAGTTTTGGTGTGTAGGGCTCCTGTTTCCAATTCTCTCTTTAGCATTGATTAAAGAGAATTAAGTTCTCACCAAAAAAACAAAGTCAATAAAATAAATATGTGAGGTGATGGCTGTGTTAGTTGTTAACTAGATGGGGGAATCATTGCACACTGTATACATATATCCACTCACCGTGATGTACACTTTAAATATCTTACAGTTTCTCAATGACACCTCAATAAAGCTGAAAAAAAATAAAGAGAGAATTAAAGTTTTGGACGCCCACATCAGTAAGCTTTGTCTGCTTTTCATGATCTTGAGCCAGAATTTTATTTTATTTTTTCCTCCCCAAAGCCCTAATACATAGTTGAATATCCTAGTTGTAAGTCATTCTAGTTCTGTGTGGGCCACGGCTACAGGACGGCTTGGTGAGCAGTGTGTGGGTCCGCACCCAGGATCCGAACTGGCGAACCCTGGGCTGCCAAAGTGGAGTGTGCAAACTTAACCTCTATGCCACCAGGCCGGCCCCCGGAATTTTAAATTGGAAGATGTTACATTAAAAAAATCCAGATTTCTGGCTTGTCTTGGGACAATGAGAAGTTCTGGCAACACTGGGGCTTCATGTTGCAGGAGACAGTTGGCTGGAGGGGTGTGTGTGTGTGTGTGTGTGTTACCTTCAGAGTTGGACGTACACCTGAAACCCAGAGGTAGGGACCTCTATTATGTTTGGTTACAGGACCTCCAACTGGGTCTTTACAACTTATAGACCCACTACGTTTTAGGTTTCCCCTCAGCTGGTAGAGTTGGTTCTGGAGGGCAAACTGTAGGACAGAGCTGCCTGTGGGATAAACACTCCTGATTGCAACTGGGGAATGCTGGAGTGGCCCACGATGCCCAAGAGGTCTGCCAATGAACCAGGTCAATAAAGAATGTCTCCGATCATCCCTCAAGAACTTGTGAAAATGCAGGTTCCCGGGTGGACTCTGTCGCCTGCATTCTGATTCTCTAAGTTGAGGGTGGAAGCTGGGAACATGCCTGTTAATGAGCTTTTCAGGTGAATTTGATGACTGCCCTGGTGTGGAAGGCGCCTGCTCCAGAATAAACTCAAGATGGAGAGGTAAGCCCGGACAGTTCTTTCTCCACTGGGAAGGGAGAGAAAAGAAGGGAGCAGTTGCTCTGCGTTGGGGCCTGCTGTTCTTGAGCTTTGATGGACAGAGGATGTAGGGGGCATTGCTGAGCAATCCCCATGGACCTTCCCCGGGGTTCTCATCCAGTGCCCCTGCAGCAGGGCTCCACCATGCGCACGTATAGCAAGCACTGGAATCTGGGTCAACCTGGTGGATGGCGCTGGAAACACACCAGCCTATGCCAGGCCAGGCACTTGACATCTGCATTCACGCCACATTGAGCGTTTTATCCATTTATTCGTGTACACATGCATTCATTCACTTTCCCCTTCACTTATTCATCCAGCAAATATTCATTGGATACCGCCAGGCACTGCTTTGGGTGCTCGGGTAAAAAGAGAAATGCATGTTCTCTTCTCATGGCAGCTGCATGTAGTCCTCATAACGAGCCTATACTGCAGCTATCCAGCCATCGCAAAGATGAATAAATCGAGGGCAAGCCACATTGGCGACCTTTCCATTCTGCTGAACGCATGGCGATTTTGGTGGTAGGAATTATGCTCCCTACCATTTATTTAGTCCTTGATTTGGCGCAAGGCACTGTGCTGGCTTCCTCATTCCCTTACTTATTCTGGCCCCCACAACAGCCCCTTGTCTCTAGCAATAATCCTTCTTTGCTGGTGATGAAATTAGTACAAGGAGATGATGCAATTCGC